TAAAACTTACTGGATTGTCTCATACAAACTTATTCCCTTATTCCTCCACTAATTATTCTAATTATATTCCTTATTCACTTATTCCTCCATTCTCCTATCTTGCATGCCCAGGCACATTTCTGTTCCCTAACTTAACCACTTGAATTTCTGAGTAAATTCAAAGCATAGGAAGTCTGAATTGTGGCATGACTGGTGGTATGCAAGAACATGATGGAGAAATAGTCTTGGATTTACACTTCCACAGTTATTGGAGGCAAGCATTTATTCCATGTCCTTGCACTCCACTCTAATTTCATTGTGGAACGGTTTCATATGTACATCATCAGGAAAGGAACAAAGCAAATGAAACTGAAACAAAATATGCATTTCTCCCATGTCCATCTGAACAAAGACTGTACAAAAAACTGGTAACCAACAAAACAACAACAGAAAAAAGAAACCAACAAAGTGGAACATGATACACCAGGGATTACACTGGGCAAGGTAAAACTAGCACCAGATATGTAAAAATGTATGTTTTTTTTGTCTTAATGAATACTGTAACCAAAGATTAGACTGAATAAAAACTTAACTAGACCCATCTTTTTTTGACAGTCATCATGACTCAAAATCAGACATAAAAACTCCTTGTATCCAGAAGTTGGGAGTTTTACCCCTCCCATCTGTAATAGGTTTATTTGGTAGAGTCCAGGACAGCATGATTGACGGAAGGAAGAGGATGAAAGGAGAAGCCTGGATAATTGGCCTTTCATTGGAGCCACTGGGGAAGGTTCTCTTGAAACTCCCATCTCTGACAACAGTTCATATTTTCACAATCTCACCATATGCTTTAGACACATGTAATGTAACATATCTCTAATGGCACAACAGGCCATAGAGCTATACAACAACAAAGAACCATTCAGGACTCCATGGGAGGATGTGTTTCATGCTATCACCATAAAAGTCATTACACCCTCAGGAAAACTTTGCTTTTGAGTTTATATAATAACTGCATTGCAAAAGTGTTCAAGAGCTACATGAGCAACTGTAATCATTCTCCAAACTGAATTATATGTGTTGTAGGGTTTTGTGGGACTCTGAGGAATTCAGAATTTTAATAAACCTGTGGGTTTAGAAAAATCTCAAAATGTTTCCATCATGTCATATCCCACTAAGGAGATTCTAAAACACCTGGTATTGCTGCTAATGTTTCCATAATTTCTTTTTAGTTCTATAGGGAAATGAAACTATCTAAACACTTAAGGGAAACAGAATTTTGAATTTTATTCAAAGCATTGAGAATTAGTCAATTTCTAAGTGCAATCAAATGGAATTTAATTTAACATGAGAAGTTAGAACTCTCATTTGGGCAGGATGCATAGGTTCCTCCTCCCCTCTCCCCCCCCCCCTCCTTGACAGCTTCTTTTGTTTGCAAATAGGTTCTACATATTCATTAGCATAGCTTCTTCATGGCCAAAAAGGATTCAAGGACCACCCACCACCACCAAGCAACTCAACAACTTGCTTGTCTGGCATGTTCTGGCAGAGCAATCAACAGAGTTTACAGAAGAGGGCAAGATGCAGGGATTTCCCAGCTTTCCTGTAACTGAAAAAGGGCAATCCTATCTGACTTGACAGTTGATGCAATGACTTATTTAGACTGCAGAGCATCCATCTTTTAATGTTTTCTACTACCTATAGTGTGACAACAGTTGAAGCATGAGTTCACTTTTTTATGCACACACTGCCAGTCTCCTCAAACCGCTTCACAATTTTCAACAACCAAGGCATACTAGGAACATTGTTCATGCCAAACTTCATTAAAAATTCCTTCCTACACACTTTTTTGGATACCGTTTTTGCATAAAATTCCACAATAAAGACACACTGCTCTACTAGACATCATCTACAAGATGGACTGAGTTGTGCTACCATCTATGATCAAACTCCCTTCTTTTCATATTGTCAACTGCAGGAGATACATTCCCTTCACTGTGTGCCTAGTGTCCTATTAATATGACTAATACTCATGGAATTATCATCAATTACATGGGTTATCAGATTAAAAAAATCACATTGTATACAAATTTCAACTCATTTTGAAACAGATAAACTAGAAGTGGTATTAAGAATTATGGGATTGGATTTAAGGATCATGGGTGAGGAAGACACATAATTAAGGCAAAATACTGCCATACTCAGGACTGATTCAATGCTACTCTTGCACCAGTAATGAATTCCCATTCCCATGGAGTCCTGAATAAATCTGGCTTTGGAAAATATTGAGATCTAGTAGTTGGAGATGTGAAATATGGGTTAGCAATTGTGCATGGTGTAAACATTGGTGCACAGGAGACCCAGACCCAGGAAGTCACAACAGGCATATTGCTCCCTTCATCCATATTCCCTCATCTCATAAGGATAGAAGATAAAGGGAAAAAAAAAGAAATTGGCAGCCCAGAAGGAAGATCTCTCTACACCCTGCTACAAAAGGCAGGGAAGGCAGAGGGATAGAAAAATGATATGTTAGCCTAGTGCTCCACTATGCATTGGAGAATGAAGGTGCAATCAAACTGAAGACCTCTGAGTTCCAACATGATTTTTCTTGGCTACCATGGCATCTTCATGAAAGACTACATTCATAGATAGCTATCTTTACTGACATTGGTGATACTGCTGATGCATCTCTGTCCCATTCAGGTTTTGGATAAAGGAATTCTTATAAAGCATATTATTTACTAAGGAACTGTGTACCCTTTTGGCTCTTGTACCTGGCACATATATACTGTATGTGTGGAGGGAAGTGTTGGCTGTGAAATTTCATGAAACAAAAGGGAAAGTCACCAGCTGCAATTACATTGTTGTGATACAAGGGAACCCATCAATTTAGAAACCTCAAAAAACCCTTAGAACCTATCAATATGAAATGAAATTCTGAAATTGGCACAAGTTACACTCTGATTACAATATTTGGAAAAGAAAGCAAGGTCTGAGCATGTCAAATTTGACATTATGAAAGTTTATTTAAAAACAAAGGTTTGCATTTTTCTCATGTTCAGTATAAAATATTTAAGAGTGAAAAGTTGACATCTCTTCATATGAGCTTATTTCACATCACCACTCAGCATGAGAGAATAGGAAAACCCAAGCTGGCATTTCCTGCAGTTGTCCTATTTAGACTTACCAGATCTTCATTTCCTTCATGTCAATGAATATCACATGAGTAGTATTAATAATGATAAAATAACTAATTCTTTCATTTAAAAAAAGATATTCTCAAAATGTTCATGTCTTCAACAACTATAGATTATGTACTTTTGCATAAAATGCAGATTCCACATATTTATTGAAATTTCATGCTAAGTTCTCCTAACCAAAGCATGGACAGGCCCAGTCATACATCAGCAATTCGATGCATTAGATTAACATGTTATTAGCAGAACTTGCAAATATGTTCATCTATTACAAATAAAACTTTGAAATCATCATGCATGCATATACAGACAAATTACTTATGAGCCTGACATCAAGAGACTAGGAGCATATCAAAATGCTGAACATCCATTCACCAAAAGCAGAGCTATTGAATACTTGAAATGCCAATGAATTGAATGGATGATGCTTGAAATTTTGAATAAATCGATTAAATTTTTTTGTCAAAGCAAAGTCCTTCTTGTAAAAGATGATTTTCATAATATCAAAATGCATTTCTATTTCCATTTCTATTTGCATCAACAACATGGTTCTCTGTGCACTTCACACTATTTATTTAATAAAATCAACTTTGGAATCATATGTTTTACAGTATAGCCAAGGAAGCAGGAATGACTGTCATGCCTGAAAGTCTAGGATATTTCAAATACATTTCAGATGGAAAAATGATATGAAAGCCCTATCAAAAAAGGCAAAATGCAGTGACACCCATATGCACATATGAAGTAGTCTTGTCCCTGTGAATCTTGGATTTTCCCTCTTGAATGTGGTTTGCATGTAAATAGGAAATAACAATCTCTCTTGCCAATTGTTTTTTTTGGAACTGTGATGAGAAGGTATAGAAATGCATTTTCCCAACAATGATGATGTTTGATAAACAAGGTGCGATAAACCATAGACTCAGACATGACTTGAAAGTGAAATGCACAGCAGCACTGCTTCAGTTAACAACCAGAGTGCAGATGAGTGGGAGCATGCAACTAGACAACCAAAATGAAGAAAATAAAACTGGCATTTTTTTTTGCCTTTGTGTGCCTACAGAAACATTAACCTTTCAATTCCTAGACACTTCTATGAATGAACTCTTCTATGAAAGGTCATGTTCACTAGACTGTCCTTAGACATAATGTCAAGTTGTTGCTCTATGTTTCAACATTCTGATACCAATTGGAAGAGACTCAAGTATTAAAAAAATAAATAATAATAATTGGTAAGTCTGTGAACATTAGCCTTTCTTCTATTGTGATTCACAACACACAAAAAACTTTGGATTCATTAGTACATAATAGTTGATTACAAACTCTTTATCCATCATGAATTCTCCTAGGACCTGGTGGATAGGCAAATGTGTCAGCAGCTCACTCACTAAAATAGCCAAGCTACTTTTCAGTAATAATCAATGATAATGTGATCTCAGTTTTTGTTTGGTTAAAGTGAAAGAAATTCAAAAAAGGATGGACTCAGTTAACTGAAAGAAGATGGAAGCCATGCATTAGAACTGCTCACCTTATCCCATAAGGAGAGAGAAAGCAGGATTGGCAGTGAAAGACAAGAGAAAATGGAAAGAGCTGACCTTGGATGAAGCCTTGATGATATAGATGAGGAAGATTCCCAGGAGGAAGACCAGGGAATATCGCAAGATGGAGCATAAGTTCAATGGAAAGGGCTTGTGCTTCCGAGTCAGCCAGTTTGAATACTTGCTCTTTTGATCATTGTATGGTGGATATCTCAGCCTGAGCACCAATAAGTCATGGAATACAGAAGGTAGATGATATGGGGAATAAAAAAAAAGAAGAAGTACTCACTTGCCAATGAATTCACCAGGGAATTTGAAGTCACGGTACAGGATAGCCTTCCTGTGGCTAAAGGCATCAAAGGAGAATTTGCCATGATACTGCCCCATTCCACTGTTCCCAATGCCACCAAATGGAAGTTCATCAACTGCAAGGACACCATCATACATAGACAAGACTGATGTGTTTGACCTCTGTGAAAACAAGCACACTTGAAGTGAAAGAGTGATAGATATACCCAAAGCCATCACAACGCAATCATTGATGCACATCGTCCCACTGCTGGTCTTCTCAACAAAAAGTTTTTGTACCCTTTTATTTGCTGAGAAAATGCACATGGACAAAGGTTTCTCCCTGAAAAAAAAAGATACTTCAAAATGAGTTGAAAGCAGCCACATGAACACAAAAAGGAATATAAAATGACCTTTTGCAAGTACCTAAAATTCATGAAAATATATAATCCAAAATACTAATAGAGGAGGGAAAATGGAGAGAATCCTAAACATAAAATACCTACCTACAGTTTATGAAATCCACAGCTTCCTGTGGGCTGTCAACATTAATAATAGGTAGAATGGGACCAAAAATTTCTTCCTGCATCACTGGGTCTGATGGCTTCACATCAACAATAATCGTAGGGGAGATGTAGAGGTCACTTGGATCCACATCCCCTCCCACGATGATGCTCCCACTATGCAGCAGTTGTGTCAACCTCCTACATCATGAAATAAGACAAGTAAATAAGACTAACAAGGTTTTCTTAACCATACAAAGATTGATGGTGACATAGGAATAGTAGATTTGCATACAAAAAGAGCCTGTGGAGATGGCACTGATATATACGGTATCCCAGTAACCCACCTCCTCAAGTTTGATGGCTTATATTAGAGCTATCAATATCATGTGCCATAGTGTTGAATTTTATATACTTTTAACGCTAAAGGCCTGAATGCTGAAATCTCCTTTAGTTAAAGGTCCTTTAGGAATACATGGACTCCTATGAGCAAAAAAGAGCTCTTTAGCTTAAAGGCCCCTTTATCTACCCAAAATGAGGTTTGTGCATTCTGACCAAATTTTTTTCCTTTTCAACTTTAGGTAGAGTTTGAATGACCTGGTCTCTGCAATGGATAAAACCATTGAAGAAGAGATGGCAGTATGGACTATAACCTAAAGAAATGAAAGAACCTTGAACCTTAACTTTCAAAGTCATTAAGGTTGGAAGACCTTAGAAATGAAGCTATGTTTGTACACAGTCTACATCACTCAGGTAAGAGGTAGTTTAAGCATTTGCTATAATATTTTCATAACCAATGGCTGCCACAGTCCAGACGTTAGGCAGGCTGCATAAATATAACTTTAAAATGGAACTAGCTCTTTGATTTTAGTGCTGAAGGATAAATGATCACAGTTATGAGCTCTATAAAAATTTCTTGATTCACTGCATAAAAAAAAGCTGTCAAAAACAGTCAATTAAGAGGTGGTGAATTAACTGTCCCATCCCTAGCTGAATATGATAGGAAGGGACCACTTTTGGTCCTATCCTATCCATTTCTGCAGGCATTTTATCAGGACTTACTTATGATAAACAAAACCAAGGCTGATGAAACTCACTGGAAGTGGGTGTCATTTACAATTCGTCCAAAGTCAGGTGAGAGTTGAGGATTGTGGCCATACCACTCCTTGATGACCTTGCGTGCATGAGCAACAAATTTCTCTTGGATATCTCTTGAGCAAAGGAGATAGTCTGGAGCAATGCATGTCTGACCAGCATTTACTAGCTTTCCCCACAGCACTCTTTTCACAGCAATGTCCAAATTTGCAGTTTCATCCATATAGACTGGCCTGTGGATGAGATTTATTTCAAGGTCACATACAATGGATGGTCAAAAGTTCAGGAATATCTCCAAGCTAGATTAAGTATTCTGGATAAGCTATTGTACAGACATCAAGGGCCAGTCTCACAAACTTGTTCATGCATTTAGTTGAGGTAAGTCAATTGGAAAGTATACCTGATGAAGCACAATGTCTGTATCCCAATTAACTGACATCAACCTAATGTTTGAACAATTTGACAAAAGTACCTTTGGAGATGTCTACTTGGTAAGAACTCAAAGTTCAACACTGAGCAATGGCCCAATGGTGAAGTGGCATGAGAGAAGAAAAAAAAACATAATAGCATTATTACGAAAGCCTTCTCCTTCTTTGCATATTCAGCAACTTCATTCAGTACAGCATTATCCTTTAACCTTGAGCCTTTGCTTGATTCTCCTACACATAATCACAAGTTCCTGTTCCATACTTAATTAATATCTTTTGGGAAATTGTTTTTTAGGCAATTAGTATGCCCAATCACTTCATGTTAGGAGTGTTTTGCAAGATGTCTCTGAGAAGATGCATCCTACACTCATAAAAAAATCAATTTCTTGGCCTACTACCATAAGATTGTCCACAAAATTTTATAAAGATTGCTGAACTTGATGTTGCTTTGTGGAGATGAGTACACATAATGTATATTTTTGCATATAATGCAAGTACTTCTTAACTAATAATGAAATGGTGCCGAGGTTGCTACCACCATAGAGGGATGATGACAGATGAAGAGCAATTCCTAAATTACACGATGAAGAAACATCGTATCATCTTAGCACATCTTGGGACTTTCATTCATGGCTTACCACATCAGAAATGAACTTGGAAATATTTTTTTTATGAATATGGAATACAGAAGGGTCCCATGATGTAATAATAAAATAATAGAAATAATTAAATAATAGAAGTTCATCTCCATGGTAAATTCATACCTGAACATATATAAAGAGGCATTTTAGGTTGCTTTCCAGGCAATTTTTCAAAGAGAATGGTAATCATGAGGAATTTCCTGAAAGGAAACTATTGAGTCAATTCAGTAAGCAGTTTAATAGCAATATCTATAAGCCAAATTGTACATATACAAGCTGGTCCTATATTGATGTACATCCAAATAGTTCTGCATATTTTGAATATTGAATCATGTATTGGAAATTTTTGGAAAAGTACTATTCATCATTTGAGTTAGTGCACATTTAGTGTGGTATATAGATAGTGCACATAATTGCACATTTTTTTGGTTTTTCCTGAAAAATTTTTCTCTTAACTCCCTCCAAGCATTAAAATACTAAAAAATTTAATGGACTAGAAATGCACTTGGCATGAACTGCTATATTGAAGCAAGTTTCAATGCTATAGAGAGGTTTAATAAGCTATTGGGGAGCATTCATCCATCCACCTCTACCCCCATCACTGCCCCAAGAGTTCATGAGATATGCATCATCTTAAATAGGATTGGTGAAACAGATATATTGGGGGACTTAAACATTTTTATGGAATTCATATTCATAGTAACTTTCCAGCCCACTCTGGAATTGCATATGGTTTTTATATCAAAAGGTGGGTTTCTGGAAAGGCACTACAAAACAATTTTGGTTTAGACTCACGATTTTCCACCAAGCTCAAGGATGACAGGGGTGAGAAAGCGGTTGGCTGCCTGTCGCACCTGCTGTCCAGCATGGGTGGAGCCAGTGAAGAAAATTATGTCAAAGCGCTCTTCCAACAAACCTTTTGCAGCCTCTATTCCCCCATTCACTACTTGAATGCATGCCTGGAGATCAAGAAAGTTAAACAAAGAAGACTATGAATCTGCATGGACATAGATGGCATTTTCCAGATAGACATGCATTCTATTGGCATAAAGAACATAATTGCATGAGTTCATACCCTTAACATAACAAAGTGCTGAGTGACACACATAAAAGTGGCCCACATGCATACCTAGCTAGCTTTGTTACAGATAGTGCTGGAAGTGTTCTGCTATGTCAATGCACTTTGGACATGTTTCAGGATATATTGAGTGACAGCTCATAACTCTTGCACTGTGATTGAGGCAATCTCTTCCTGAATGTTTTTATTCAGTTCTTCCAATGTATGGGGATTGCTTGCACAAACTTTTCCCTTTTACCCAAAGGTAAAAGTCACATGATGATAAGTCCAGAGACTGTGAGGGCCACAGATGTTTGCCCATGGTCCTGTCATCGCCAAATTACTTGTGCCATGCACCATGGACACTCTGGACATGTGTGTTGTCGTGCTATCCTGCTGGAAACGGCAGTACTTTTGCTCCTTGTCAGTAGGTTGGTTATAAAAATGTTCCAGTATGGCCACATTCTAGGGGGTAATGATGGTTGCAGAAAAGAAAATGCGACCAAGAATGCGATGTCCCAACACAACACACCACACCCCTACCTTCAGCTCATAAAGTGGGGTTTCATGCAGGAATTGAGGATTGCCAGCTGTCCAGTACCTGTTGTTCTGGGAGTTTGCATATCTGCTCAGATGAAACCATACTTCATCAAATATAAAATACAGAAGCAGGTTCACGTTTCCATTGGCAACAGATTCCAATAACCACTGGCAATATGCTACATGTTTCTGCTTATCTAGTGGTTTCAGTTCCTGAACTACAGTCACATGGTATGGCTTCAAGGTCAACTCCTTCAAAACTGATTGGCATGTCCTTCTGGAGGCCCTTATCTGCTGGGAAAGCCTCCTGATAGACTTCTTGGGGCTCTGCAATATGTGCTGACAGATGTCTGCCATCAGGGCAGATGCACAGATGGACCATACCTTCATATGTTTTGCATTCAGTACGGATCCAGTCTGCCTCCACTTAGCAACTAATTTCTGTATGGCATCCTTAAATGGGATTTTTGCCCGTGAGAATAGCTCTTGAAAACATTGGTGTACTTGCTTAAACAACTCTATTTTTACATACAGCTCCATGATCATGATATGCTGACTCACTGAGTATGGCATGTTACACACTCCCTTTCAAGGCATAGACTAGGGTGCTCATTGCATGTCTTTTTTTTTTTCCTTACTTCCAAATGTGTAGGGACATGCACTGACAGGTACTGGCATGTTGCAGTAACCATGCTGTATGGGCAGTGCTGGGGTCACTTTTATGTGTGCCACCCTGTACTTCCTCCACCTGGTGTGGCTGGATCTACTTTTCAATTCCTATTAGAGGCAGGGTTTAAGACTATAGCAGGTAGTCCAATTTCGTCTCCAAAACCTACTACAACAAAGTCCATACAGGGAAAATGGGCCCACCCGACAAGGACTTACTGCCACATTCAAAGTTAATTTGTATAGTCTCCTCATGCAGTACCTAGTGCTAATATAGGTGCAAAATGCACTATGAAGCAAAATGAAGCAACCATAGATGAGCAGTACATAAATTGGATCATGTAGACTTATATTATGCTAAGAGGAGGAGAAAATGATCCCTACAGGATCCAGATAGAGGGGAACAAGGTCTCCAAGAAGCTTGGCCATGCTTGGAGACAAGTCAGAAGGTTTGATGACCACACAATTCCCAGCTGCAATAGCCCCAGTCACAGGATTCATGGTCACTTGAATGGGATAATTCCATGCCCCAAGGACCAATGCAACTCCATATGGGTCTGGGTGGATGACAGGGGTATCAAGCATTGTGAGCATTGTCTTCTTCACCTTTTCTGGCTTCACCCATTTCTCTAAGTTGAAGATGGCACCCTTCACATCATTGATACAATAACCCAGTTCTCCACAGATGGCTTCATATGATGGCTATAAAAAAAAAAAAAAACAAGAATCTAAAAGTTTAAATGAAAGCAAGAGGTCAAAAAAACTAAGCATACATTTGAATAATAGTAGCACAACCACAAAAAATCTACTTCAGCATGCCAATGATTCAATAACCACTGAGGTCAAAACCAGCAGAGATTCAAGAAAAAAACCCCACCAAATCATGATATTTACTTCTGCATCCCTATCCAATGGCATCTTAAGTATGCCTTTTACTTAGATTTACAGACATCCTAAGCACAAATCTCTACAGAATGTCCTTTCTGAAAGGTATAAGACAATACTTCAATGGCAATACCAGCATTGGCACACCTCCAATTAGAAGCCAACTGTAACAAATCAACAAGGCATATGCATGGGCATTCTATTGCAAATTGGAAACTATAGAAGGGATGGAAAATGACAAGACAAATGAAAACAGATTCAGAGGTCTTTTTTAAAATTAATACTACGCTATCTGGCTGTGATGGTTTCCAACCTTTCTAACCAAATAAATACTACACCCAGCTTTTAATTTCACTTCTGTGGCAACCTAAATTTTTCCCTCTCCTTGTTCTTTGCCCTTTGTGAATCATTACATATACTGCCAATTAATTGGTACAAATGACAATTTAGATGATGCATCTGTTTTCAAACTGTCATCATGACATCCCTGATTGTCACTAGGCTATGGTCACTCCTCCTATACCTTTCTATTCATACTTTACTCTCTCTCTCCTCATCTTGTTAAACCAAAACCTTTTCTCAATAACCAGCTTTGTTCCACTGTGAGAAAACCTCCTTGCACTTCCTTTTCAAAATACTGGTTATTTGCTGCAATGCTAAAATCCTCATGGTCTCAAAAATGTTTAATATAATGCTTCATCACTCAAAAAAAAAAAGATAAACCCTAGCATAACTACTATTTGCCTTTCTCACATCTCTCTTTCACCCATTATCCAAACATGTTCTCTGTCTGTAGATATATATTCAAATGTCCAAGAAAACTACTGTTCAAATTAAAAAAAAATTAACCTTGCACTGTTTAATCAATTGATCATCATCCTCATGGCATCCCTGCTCATTAAAATGTAATTAAACATTTTAATGAGCAGGGATGCCATTTCAGGGAGGCTAGGAGGGGGCAAACCTCCACTCCACCCAAATCCCTTTGCCTTCCTCTGACCCAGTTGCCCCCTTGCAGAGCTTTAAACGATATCCCTGTTAATGAGCTCATAATATCCTGTCAATAATGGTGAATGACAACATTTTCAAAAGTATAACAAGAAAGTATCAAGGATATTGCTATATCTCCTGGTCCTATGCAATTGATTGATCACCACTTTAGCTTTCATTCAGTTGTCTCATAGACACACATTCAAGGACGAACTCATCACCTGGCATATAAAAGGGAGACTTGAGCAAGTAGTTATGGCTATGATCAACCTGTTAAATTATTTGAATTTAAATTGACTCATTGTATTGAGAATCCAAGAAGAAACCACTGATATTAAAAGGTAACATTGCATACTTAAAGCCCTAGGTTTCAATTCTGGACCTAATGGTCAATTTCAAGATGATAAATTTCACATGTTGGGTTATATTGGCCAAACATTACATTAGAAGTTTGAAGGATTAGGCCTATCCTTAATCTAGGACACAGCTAAATCCTGAGCTAGGGTTGCCACCCATTCATTATTAGTATGGACAGTACATATTTCAGACGCAATGTCCATACTGCACACTGGTCCTAATATGGACACAGTTTTGTCCACATTTTAAACTTGGTAAGCTTTTTTCACTCAATAGAACTTATTTACAGGTAATATAGTTATTTTCCATAAGTCAAAACCAGTAGGCCACACTCATAGCATCAACTGGCACCTAGGCTTAGGGTGGCGATGGGTATATTTTGAATATTTGTCCATATTTAGGTATGTGCCATTCTGGCATGCCTGTAGGTCTTCATCAGACCTGACTGTCTCTATTTTTGGAAGAGGTCTACTTTAAACAGAGGAAATGGAATGAGTTAAGCAATGTCAATAAGTACCTTTTGTTTTTCAAATATGATTCATCAGGCAGAATTCAATATCACTGCAACTCTAACAAAGTGCACCCAGGATGTGGCAGTCATTGCATGATGAAGCTGATATTGAACCATAATGGACACTTAGTCTAAGACTAAGAGTCCATTATGGTACACATACACAATAACCAACACCAGGAATTAGCAGAATATGCAAGAAACAATTTATTGCACTAGTTAAACCTATAAATCCATAACCGGCGGCCATAGCCTACAAGTCCATGGCTATATTTTTACATTGATGGAATTAGTGAATTAAGGATTAAAGGTTTAACATTAATATCAGACATACTCGTCGCAAATCTTTCCATAGAGCCTGAGCAAACTTGTCCTCATTTTCTGTGTACATTCGCAGCAGTGCGCGAAGCTGCTGCAGTCGAAATCCAAGGTCACGGCTCTTACCAGAGGCATAAGCTTCCCGAAGCCCTTTCACCAACTGCAAGAGAAAGCAACAACCCTCACCCACCATTCCATATGGATTGAAGCGGAATTGATCTCAGATGATTGAGATAACCCTAAGTTGATGAAATCTGACCTTGTAATACTTTCCAGCAGTCTCTTTTCCATCCATATTCAAGGTAGAATGTAGGGGTCGAGCCGTTTTCTGGCACTGACACAAAACAAAATCTAACAGAAAGTCTTACGTCATACAGCAAAAGTATTAAAAAGCAAACCAGGCTTAAATCTTTATAAGCCCTAGGACACAACGACCACGAAACGGTGCTAGTCGGAATCACCACTCTTTAGTAATTATTATGCATCCACTTGCGCATCACATGGCTGCCATATTTACACGAACACATTCTAAGACAGGGGCTTACGACGAATTATGATGACTTTCATTGCAACCTGAGGCATTTTCTTTTGCCTAGCTGAGAATCACAGCAGTCCAAAAGCAGCGATACGCATGCGCATACGTATACGTGAATGCATCGCGTGTATCAGGAAATAAAAAGAAAATTATTTGGAGAAATTGACATTTTACCTTCAGCCTTGTTTCTTACCAAAAGGATAAAAGGCTGATAGAGGAAGAGTTATTTGTTCTAAGGGGTCAGAGAGGCATTTTATGAAATCTTTCTGAGGGCAGAGGGTAGTCAGAGATATGCTAAATACTAACTGCTCTGTAGTCTTAAGCTTTACCATGATCCATAGATAGATGATATGATATGGTCACGGAACTCAAGCGGGGGGATCAAGTATCATACACTTTCCATTGCCAGAGCCATTATGAACAGGGTTGGTAAGGGAGTAAATGACACTCAGCAACCCTGAGTACATGGACTCGACTTTGAGGTCATGAGCCGGTTCCTTGATATTTTCCTCCAAAATTTGGACGAGAAATGAAACGTTTACGAAAATTATTAAAATAATTATTGCCTTTGGCCCCGTGTGCTTACAGAGTCTATGCTTTCCCCGTCCATACGTGGCAGTAAAAAAAAAAAACCAAGGACGCATGCGTTTTGGTTTGAGGAAGAGAGCGATGAAATATGCCTGAGAGTTACATCATTGCATGTGCCACGCTTTTACTCGCTTATCCTCGAATGTGCGCGTAAAGCATAGTTCCTGTTAGTGCCATGCAGAAAAGAATTCGCTTTCGTCGCGAAAGCAACCTGAATTGGGTCACTAGGGTTAATTGGCCTGCTAGGTGGTTTTCTTATTAGAATGGAAAACACTAAGTTCGTCTGCTTTCCCCCGTGAAATTCCAGCACGCCACTGGCATGCGGCTTAGGCACTCCCAAGTGCCACCACCATAAATAGGCCTCCAATGATTTAAAAAATGAAATGGAATCGTAAGGTTAAAAGGAAAGTGTCAATGGCAATCCTGCAGATGAAATAATTGAGCCTAGCTTTGACTGAACATGCATTAACCAAAAGCTCTACAGGCTGTCATTTATGGGAATGAAATGCATGCTCAAAGCATTGAATGATTGGCAAGTTGGTGGATGGAAGCCAATTTCTTAACACTAGACGTTAGGAAATCCAGTCCTAGGGTCATCAGAAGCCACCATAAACATGTATGTCTTCATGAATACCTCTATATGAGGGGAAAATTTAAAGTAAACTCAACCAAATACATGGCATTATACAGTGTGACATGAAACCTTAGTCTCCCTGCTGTAGCAGTACTGTGTGATGGTGAGGGAAAACAGGTTTTTTTTTCAGAAAAGTATTCAATACTTAAGTGAAATCACTTAAGGTGAAATATTAGTATTGTGTGGACCTACCATAGGCCTTGCAGGCCATGGAAACCTCTGTAAGGTAAAAAAAAAACAAAAAAAAAACACACCTAGGAATCTTGTCTGGCATATATTAATTCTCACTTAATGCTACTGTCTGACTGCCTGGCAGCTATGCTTTGAAATGTCTTGAAGATGCCATAAGTATAAAAAATGCAAGCCATCATATCTATTAGCATGGTTGGGGCAAGTGATCACATACAACCTTTACTTGAATCATGAATGCTCTTGCTTCTGAATGAGCAAATAATGTATTGAGTTAGTCTCACAAATTTTAAGAAAGTAAATTAGTGGGGATTATCTCATTGATGTAACTAGTAGTATACTTATGGTACTAGGTATAGTGAATGGCAACATTTTTGCATGTGAATTTATTATGATAAACCATGATGAACACTTGAAAATAAGTATAATATAAATGTTCATTTCATTCCCAAGTATTAAATTTTGAAGATAACATTGATGGATTTCAAATATGAACTTGTGGGAAGTTTTGCCACTGCAGTTTTATTGCTGCTTGTTGGCCAAATGTAATTTCTATGCAAAAAATACTCAGTAAATAGTACTGGCCTTCCAACCTGAGTATCCTAAGGTGAGCCTATCATAGCTCTTAGAAAAAATACCTTTATGAAATAATCATCCTTATTTTCTTCCATGCTGTTTTTTTTTTTCATGTGACTTTCTGTCCCACTCCGCATTTAGTCTTGGGTAATTTCTTGGAAAATTAAGATGGTTGGAAATGGAAAAAGGAGGAAAGTAGTATAGGCCTATTATTGCAATAGTGAGATGTTATGGGCTCTAATTAATTTTTTTTTATAATGTGAAGAGATAGGCTTAGAATGGGGTTGCTCAACTACTATGTGGGATGGTCCCACCAACATGACATCCTGGAGGCATGACAGTCCAGAAAGAAAATCATTCTAATGTGAGAATTAATAATCACATCAGATGAATACTTGACAAGGATATTCCAAGCAAGAGGGTTGCTAAAAATTATGTGTGATTGCATATTTTTTTAAGCCAGGGAGAGAGGTTGTGTGATACAATTTAAAATGAGGCCCTCTTTCTGAATGGAAATAGAAACTCTGAAACCCCTCCTGGATGCTTTCCTACTACTTAAATATTGCTACACCGGGGGAGATGCACACACATGGTTAGGAGGCAAAAAAAAGTACAGAATCAGAAAGAGTCTACAATTTGGAGAATGAGAGCTTGTAGTCTGAGTATAAACCACTGTCTGCTGCTTTAGCATTCCTGCCATAGACCCAAAGCTGTTGACTCAATGGTTTTCCTTTCCCCTCTTTACAGGTGAGGTGCAGGAATCATTTTCCTAACGCATCTTTTCTATACGAGAAAAAATGGGTGACACAAATCTTGATTCTACTGGGGAACCAGCAGGTAATGCACTTACAGATCAAATGAAGGATGCAAGCATCAAGGGAGAAGAAGAGGATATTGTGAATCCTTGGAATGTGCAAAGTACCTCAGCAACTGGAGTGGATTATGATAAGTTGATCAAGCGTTTTGGAAGCAGCAAAATTGATGATTTGCTACTTCAGAGAATAGAGAAAGTGATTAGAAAACCTATTCATCACATGCTAAAGAGAGGGATCTTCTTCTCCCACCGAGACATGCATCATATCCTGGACCTTGTGGAGCAAGGAAAACCTTTTTTCTTATATACAGGACGAGGTCCTTCATCTGATGCAATGCATCTTGGTCATCTTTTACCTTTCATCATCACCAAGTGGCTTCAGGATGCATTTGATGTTCCAGCTGTAATTCAGCTGACTGATGACGAGAAGTTCCTCTGGAAAGATCTCAAACTAGAGCAAGTTCATCAGCTATCATATGAGAATGCCAAAGACATAATTGCCTGTGGCCTGGATATTAACAAGACCTTCATTTTCTCTAACCTGGATTACATAGGCAGCTCCAGGGAATTCTATGCCAACATGAAGCGGATTGAGAAATGTGTCACCTTCAACCAGGTTAAAGGGATCTTTGGATTCGGAGACAGTGACTGTATTGGGAAAATCTCATTCCCAGCAATCCAGGCTGCACCGTGCTTCTCCAATTCTTTCCCCCACATTTTTGGATCACGAACAGATATCCCTGCCCTGATTCCATGTGGAATTGATCAAGATCCATACTTCCGAATGACTCGGGATGTTGCACCCCGCATCAACTATCAGAAACCTGCATTGTTGCATTCCATTTTTTTTCCTGCTCTACAGGGTGCCCAGACTAAGATGTCCTCGAGTGATCCCAATTCCTCCATCTTCCTTACTGATACTCCAAAGCAAATCAAGACCAAGATTAACAAGCATGCCTTCTCAGGTGGCCAGTCGACTGTGGAAGAGCACAGGGCATTGGGAGGGAACTGTGACATCGACATAGCCTACCAGTACTTGAGGTATTTCATGGCTGATGACCTGAGACTGGAGGAGATTCGGAAGCAGTACAGCAGTGGAGAGATGCTTACTGGTGAATTGAAAAAGATCTTGGTAGACACCATTCAACCCATTATTGCAAATCATCAGACAAAGCGAACCCAGCTTGACAAAGAAACTGTCATGTCTTTCATGACTCCTCGCCCCCTCAAATTCCGGTTTTGAAAATGAGAGCTGAAATATATTTATTGGAAAAAGATTGATTTTTCATTTTGAGTCTTATGCACATCCTACCTGGAGTTGATTTCTTCCATAACCCTGTTGAACCTACTTGAATCAGGCAAGCTGATGCTGGAAAAGTGTATAGCTGTTATAATTGTATTTTCATCTTAAGAAATGAGCACAATGCAACCCTAGTCAGACCACATTTGTGAAAAGTCTTTGTTGACTCCCTACCCATTCTTTGGGGAACTTAAGTCTGATTGTGGTCAGGCATGATTCCCAAACCAAAGGAGGGTTATAAGAAAAAATAACATTTTAAAAGTTTTATTTTGTACAGTTGCAGCTAATTATTTTCTGCATTGTGTAATTTTGCATTTTTGCCTACATATGGCTTCAGCTTCTTGGTATGTTTTTAGCTTCAACTCTGTGTTCAATTTAAATTGCAATTTTTTAGCTGGCTTTTTATCATCAGCTTCCTTGCAAGTTTTTGCAATGAAACATTTTTCATTGCAGTTTTTTCTGTTTTGGATTTTCCTCTACAATCAATTGTAATATTAATGAAATTATTGCTGTATGCTCAAAAATGCAAGGATTTACGGGGTTGCGCTAGGTTTCTTGCCGTAGGAGTCCCTGGGACCCTCAGGTCTGATATGGAAAGGTCCCCTGATTATTAAGGGGGTTACTTTCCAAGTGAAGCACAAGGGAATATTGAAGGGTTCCCCAAAAGTAAAAGTCTGGCAATCCATGTTTATTTGCCAACTTAACATAATCAAGTAGTATGATATTCAATCCAGGAGTCTTACGCTTTCCGTCTGTGCGTCTTGGGACCCCTAGGATCAGTGGCGTGTCCAAGGGGGGGGCGGGGGGTTGGGGGTCATAACCCCCCTTGGGATCAATTTTACAGGTTCGATTCTCAAAAAAAATTTTTTTTAGACACAAATACGGGTGGGTTGTCAGGTTTTTCATATGTTAAACCCCCCCCCCCTCCATTCGGATTTCCTGGGCACGCCACTGCCCAGGATGCATGGGCAGGAGGCCAGGACAATAAACTCAGCGCAACCCCTGATTTACCTTGGCATTTGCAATGCATCTTTCGCCAGTGCTTCTTGAGAGGCTTCAGTGGAACCCTCAAGGGTCCAAAAGTTGGGTTTCGTTATTTTTTTATTTGTTCCTTGTAATGAGTATCCGTTTATTGCATAGGGGTTATTACATCATGAGACTCGGGGAAATGAGATGGGATGAATGACATGATGCATCTTCAGTCGATGCTTCGAGGGACAGGATAATAGGATGGAATGGGGTTACTCACCTAGGTTTACATGAATAAGAGTTGGATTGTGCTACAAACTGCCATGAAGAACCTGCTCTTCGCTCACTTAAAAAAAAATTATCTGACTAACCATTTCGTGCAAGAACAGTTTAATCAGAGGCACTCTATTGTAGGCTATCCCCTGAATTCTCCGAAGTCTTCAGACTGATTTTGACGAGAATGAGCAAGAGACAAATTCAGGGAAATCCCAGTGCTTTTTACTGTTCAACACTTAAAGAATCGAACGAAGAAACTGAAAGAAACAAATGAAATGCCAATTCCACGATGTAGGCAGGTGAATCAAGAGTACTGCATGTTTCTGGGACGTGCACCTACAGAGGAATGTCCACAGAAAAATGAAACTAAGGACGAGGGTCAATCACACCCTTTTTTGCCCTCTATGAAAATAATTTAGTGGTTTATAATTTAAAAAAAAAGCCTGCATTCTAGTTAGTACGGAAAAGCAAACTTTCTGCGCTACGCATTCGGGTTTCAGTTGGCAGCGACAGGAAGTTTGGCATGTTTTAAGTCATAGTATTTACACTGTGACAGCCGATCAAGACACCAGCTCATCAAACGAAAAAAAAACAACAGATAGGATTATGCAACATGGAGGGAGAAATCATACTGAAACGGAAACAAAATGAAAGGATACACTATAGATTAGGGGGAATTTGCCGACCAAACAAAAGAGGCATGCAACGGACATTCATGAGGAACAAAGCCAATTTGCGGGGGGGGGGGGGAGAAAATAAAAAAAACTGGTCTGAGGAATGGCATTAAGAGAAAGTTAGGTCAAGAAGGACTTCTGGAGAAAATACTTACAGGTATTATTTCAGGAGTTTTTGACATTATTTGGAGTAAACTCAACTACCACATTTTTAATTATACTTGGGAGTTCTCTCCATAATTTTAGAATATCAGGAGAGAAGGAATTTGCTCTCAGTTCGAGTAGAAAGCTGTTTGAATGTGAGTGTTTCGAGGTTTCTGTTGCCAATGGTTAAGTGGCCCAGAATTGAATGATCAGGCTCCGAAGAGTGAAGATTTTTAATGCAGTAACTCAGTGAAAGATATTTATGACGAGGGACATGAAATTTAATGTTCGCAAAGATGGCATGGGAGAGCAGTTCTTTCGCTCACCATTAAGATAATTAGAGTGACTTTCCTTTGAATTCGTTCAATATTGCAGCTCTGTGTTACTAAATGAGGACAGAACTATTGCTCAATTTCAAGTTGGGGCCTGATTAGTGTGCAGTAAAGTTTCAGTAAAACACTAGGTTTACATTCTTTAACCACAAGGTAAGTGATGCCCAGAAGTCCTCGGGATCTCCTAGGCGTCCTCCTCGGAAAATGCGAAACGTGGGGAATTTCCTATAACGAATTTTCCTTTCCAGGAAATTTTTTAACCTGTCCATCTGAGTTCGTTATATCGAGCGTCGACTGCATTTGAATTAGGGGCAGTAGTCCCATCTGACTCATAATCTGCAACAGCTCGGAGGATATAAGCGCATCATTCACGGCATTACACCAATGACACTTCCCATTGTTAAGCAATCGGTCGTTCCTCCTGTTCGGAACATTTTTCAACATGGTCAGGGACAGTGTAGCATATCCTATGCAAGAAATCATCTAAGGTTTGAAATTAATTGATGTACTCGTCAGCAGCTCGAGGTTTCCCTGCATGAACCCTCTCCTCGGGTGCCACGTAATATTGTATCAACATTGAATGAGCATTGCATCAGCTTCCAATGAATGTTAATATAATCTTGCGTGCTAACAGGGTTCTTGCCGGTTCAGCTCGAGCAACAGATCCATCCTTGTTTCCCACAATTGCTTCAGGGTGAATAGTAATAGATCCATGGGGATCCAGCAGTCATTGTCCAATCAATGACTAACACCAATGTGCCATCGGAGTGCTTATAACACAAATTAGAAATAGTCCTTAACTTTTTGGATTATGAAATATACCCCAAAACAAGAGAACCTTTGCCACATAAATAAACTTTAAATTGTGAATTGGGGCAACCAGCTTTTCATCGCCCTGTACATCAGGGGTTAATTTGGTTTTCTTGGATTTTGACTCCCCCTACCACACGCACATTTTCCATCTACGTTACGCCTACACAAGAGCGCGGTGGCGCTGTGTTGCCGAATTCACCAACATTCTCAATAGATTTTCCACTTTCCGACCGTAGATCGATCAACGTCCCGCTAGTCTGAATGCCACGAAAACGATACATATGCGAGTTGCGTTCAAGATCTACCTGCACTTTTCAGTGTATTTTTAAACGAAGCCTGAGATCATGGTGATTTTTTTGTAACATTTACTGACAACCTTGTCGTACAAACAAACTGAAGTGCATCGACCGGTACTATTTTCTGGTGGAGATAAGCTACTTGTAGATGACGGCGAGTGCAGTAACTCCTGTGAAAGAACGGCGTTGTATCATCAAATTCCTGATGATGGAAAACGTGAAGCCAGCTGAAATTTATAGACGATTTCACACAGACGATTCACAGTTGGAAATAACTGTTTGTCAAGAAGAGTGTTTGGGCGGTGCAAAGTGTTCAAAGATGGGCGTGAATCAGTGGCTGATTGGCTGCGCAGTCACTTGCCAGCAACAGCTGTGACTCCTGCAAACATCGAGAGGGTTGAAAGGTTAATTCTGCAAAGCCATTGCATAACTGTACGAGATTTTGCTTCAGAAATTAATACCAATGTTGGCAGTGTGGAAACAACAATTCACACTTACCTCAAATTCAATGAGGTGAATACCAGGCGGGTGCCAAAAGAGCTGTCCTTTGACCAGACCGTGCGTGTGAGGCGAATATCACTGTCAGAACTGTCGCCCAGATGGAATGGGAAATTATCTGATTGGAAAGAAAGTTCTCGGAATTTCTTGAATATCCAGTACAATTTTTTTCCAGAGCATGCTAGAATGTTCTGCGTGTGTTTATTAGTAGGTCGTGTCCTTCGGCATACAACCGTATATTATTACAGCTCTGGTGCTCTCCAGTCATGAACCAGCCCTACCCTCTTACTAAGGAGCAAGTTCGCCTGCTTCTTCTTTATGACTTCCGAATCAAGAAGAAGGCAGCCAATTCCATCGCTGACATCAATACCGCGTTTGGCCCGGACACTGTGTCCAAGAGCACTGCCTATGATTGGTACAGTCGCTTCCAGAAAGGAAATGAAAGCCTGGAAGACCAGCCACGCACCGGTCGTCCTTCGGAGTTTGATAACTCTGCCTTGCAGGAGGCACTGGAGGCCAACAACCGGCAAACATCGCGAGAGCTTGCGGACTTGCTGGGTGTCTCCCATACAACTATCCTTCATCATCTGGCTGAGCTTGGCAAGAAGGCAAAGTTGGGGTGCTGGGTACCCCACAAGCTGGATGATCGGGACCGCCAGCGACGAGTAGACATGGCCATCTCCCTTCTGTCACGTTCGCGCCGAACGGATTGGCTAGACTCAGTGGTGACAGGCGACGAAAAGTGGACCTTCTATGCCAACATTCGACGAAAACGTCAGTGGGTGGACGCCGGAGCATCGGCCGAAAGAGAACCCCGTCAGGAGTTGCACCCCAAAAAGATTATGCTCTCGGTCTTCTGGGATTCGAAAGGCATCATCATGTTTGAGCTGTTGCCGCAAAACACCACCATCACTGCTGCCTACTACTGCCAGCAACTCGATCGGCTGCAGCAGAAACTGGCTGAAACACGCCCAGAAAGACAGAGAACCATCCTCCTCCACGACAATGCCCGGCCGCACACCGCTAGACAGACTCATCTAAAGTTACTGGACCTGTGCTGGGAGGTGCTGCCGCATCCGCCCTACAGCCCCGACCTTGCCCCGTCCGATTATCACCTTTTCGTTGCCCTGGACCGTCACATGGGTGGAAAGCAGTACGCCAACCAAGACGACCTGAAAACCGATTTGGCCAACTTTTTCGTAGCGCAGCCGCCAGAGTTCTATTGGAATGGCATCCATAGTTTGCATAAACGTTGGCGTGAAGTGATAGAGGCCAATGGTGATTACATTCATGATTGAGATGATTTTGCTTTTAAATAAACTGGGTTGTAATAATTGTTCATGAAATTCCGAGACCTTTCTTTCCAATCAGATAACAATACATCCTATAGTCCTGACCTGTCGCCATGTGATTTCCATCTTTTTGGACAATGAAGGAGCATCTTTCTGGCAGATAATTTCAGACATATGATGAGGTCAAGGCATGTCCTGACATGGCTTCGGGCCCAACCTAAAGACTTCTCTGCCTTAAGGCCCTGTAACACTTGGTGAATACTCGCTAGCGAGTACTCGTCAGCGAGTGTGGTGCTACATTAAGGGAGTACTCGCTGGCGAGCGCTTGTCATTTACTCGCTTCAAACTGCCAGCCATCTATTCCACGAATGGGGAATTTGCTTTTTTGAGCATTTGTGTACAGATGTCAATAAATATGAGCAGTGGCGGCTCGTGATATTTAGCGCTAGTGGTTCGTCTATGGAGGCGGCGCCCTCCCCTGCCTACTCCAAAGACGAGCCACTAGCGCTCAATATCACGAGCCGCCACAGAATATGAGATATGCGAAGATGATGGCTGCCTGCCGAAAGTCGAAGTTCTCATCAGTCATGTTGGATCTAGTCGATTATGTGATGGCACGCAAACTGTCAAAATGACACTTAGGAGGCCAAGGAAAGCCAAAACAGATATCTTCGATTCTGTTCAAATGATTTTTCCGAAGATCCACGAGCCATTCACTTCATATTTATTTTATCCCAACCTCTTCAGTCATGAAGTGGCTATAACCAATCTCCTACGAGTTTCACACCTGGCAAGGTAACGAAGGGATGAAATGAGCAATTCCTCTGGTTGGGTCTATCAGTACCGTTTTCTTCTTTGTTACCCTAGGAACCACCTTCTCTAAGAGTCTCTGGAAGGTTGCTTCGTTCATTCGAAGAAAGCCAGCGACGTGATTGGGAATATAGGTGGGGCAGTAAAAAATTTTGCGCCACCAGAGTAGATCATTTGAAGAGCCAGAGCATCGTCCAAATTCGTCCGTTGTGCCTCCCACTCTTCCTGATAATGTTACCCCAATGAGGGCAGCAGCGACACTGGCGTTGAACGGCAACTGATTTAGACGCATCCCGAACTCATACCAGACGCTTCGCGTTGACCTTTTCAACTCCTGTCATGGGAGGAGTGAGGCTCCATCTTGCCTCGAGGTTGCCTTTTGATTGGTTCTTGCTAGCGAGTATTTGCCTGAAGTTTGAAAAATTTCAAACTCGTAGCGAGTGCTAGCGAGTGGTAGCGACTGGTAATGTTACACAAAGCGAGTGGCCCTAGCGAGTATTCGCCTAGTGTAACAGGGCCTTTAGGCATACAATCACTACCACATCGATGAGACAAGTGTATACGGGCGCGTCTTTTTCTCCAGCCGCTAGCAGCCGCTAGCAGCTGCTAGCGAAAAAGACGCGTTGGCTAGGCATGACCACGTCATTGAATGACGTCACTCTTGGGCAAGCAGCCGGCAGCGGAACGTAGCGAACTATGGGAGCGCTGAGCAGCTCAGCCCTAACATGACGTCATGGGATGCTGGAGGCCTCAGCAGAGCTAGCTGAGCCGCTGAGAAAAAAGACACGCCCTATGTGTACAAGGAGAGTACCTTGAAAAGTAGGGCAAGTTTCATGAACCTAACTTGTATTGTGCATTTTATATGAAGTGCAGGTCGACCTTGAACGCCTCTCGTATATGAAGCTTTCCATCGATTCCTGTATAGCTGCTTGCGTGCGATCAACCCAAGAGGAGTTCCCTGACAGACAGAGTGGTATTATTAGAATGCATTATATATAGGAATGACCCCATCAGGAACGGTGTGTGTTTGTGTGTTTATGGGGAAGGGAGGGTTTTCTTTGCGAGGAACCCGATATAATGATCAGTGGTCTCTACCAGTGGCGGCTCGTGATATTTAGCGCTAGTGATTCGTCTATGGAGAGGGGGTAGGCAGGGGAGGGCTACACGGTTCAAAGGCTACACGGTTCACACAAAGACAAGCCGAGGAGTTCCAGGAGTTCACTTATGCCTATTAGGAAATGAGACTTACTTTTTCGTGTTTCTCGATATTCGCTAAGTTTCCCTCGGCAACTTTCCTCTCTTGAGATCAAGTTTTCTGTCATAATCCCTTTGCATGCTTACTCCCACTCTTCCATCGCACCTTTCAGCAGCTGCGAAATACACCCATTCAGACAGAAAATTAATCCAGTCAGATGGTAATTGGAAATTCTTCTGGATCTGGGTCATTTTTGAGCCAGAGAAAATTATTCATTGTTGCTGGTCCAGGCTATTCTCTTATCGGGATAATCACAACGCTTTGTTTTCGAGGCCAATTAAACTTGTCAACTTTGGAAATGCACCGAGGGATCCGAAACATTGGCCAATCTTGAAATTTTAATTTATTGAAGTCAAGATGGAAATTCTAAACATACTTCAAGTCTTTGTCCGTTTTTTTTTGGGATGAATCGACTGCGCAAAAAATGTTTAAAAAAAACTTCAGGCTGTTCAGAGGATGCGTGGAAGTAATTAAGAAAAAGGCTTTCATATTTTTTCTCTCTCATGACTCTGTTGAGACTCTCGCGCACGCATTAATGCATTAATGCGTGCGCGTACGAACACGTTTGGAGACGCGTTCGACTCATTTTCTGCACCGAGCAGTCTTATCGCTGTTTTATGTTGGTGCATTTTTTTCTTTGTGTTTTCTCAGTGACTTTTATTGTCACCCTGTTGCAGAACGAACTTCGATGGAGAGGAAGCGCATCTAGCTGAACGTCTTCGAGATCTTCTTCCCGAAAAGCAGGAGATGCTGGTGCTGAATTTATTCATCGGAATCGGATGGCGACGACTTCGCGGCGACCGATTCCATGGGTTTCGAACACTCGGAACGAGGAGTCGATGGAATGCTTCACCGATTTTTCGACCGACAAGTCTTTCTCGGGAAAATCGCCAAGTTGTCACAGCGGGAATAAGGTTACAGCCCAAAAGCTGCCGAAAATTGGCAAATGAGATTTTGGCGGTTCGACAGAAAAATCCTTCTCGAGATTCAGCAAAAAGAAGAAATGCAGCCGTTCCATGTGATCTCCAAGCCCCAGAAAACCGATTTGAACAAA